TTCTCCCCGGCGTTGGCGGCTGCGTCGACAAGATCATCCTCTTCATGCGTCAGCGGTAGGACACAAAGCTTTGTAATTGGGCGTACCAGCTCTGTGTTAACTGTCTTCACAGTTACCACGCGAATTTGTCCATCTGCTCCTGGATGGATAGCAATCACTTTGGCTAATGGCCACTTGGTTGGCGGAAGATCCTCAGTGGTGATCAGTACAACTGAACCCACCTTGATCAGGTTGCGTTGATGATGCCACTTTGAAATGGCCTGATAGCGGTGGATACAGTCTTGGTAGTAGCGTTTCCAGAAATGTTGCACCATTTGCTGGACTTGTTCCCAGTTCGATAGCCGAGCAGGTTGTAAATCTGTTAGCGATGGCTCTGGGATTGCGGTCAATGACTGTCCGATTAAGAAATGACCTGGAGTTAATACAGCCAGGTCAGCAGGATCTTCATTCAGCGGAGTAAGCGGTCTGGAGTTCAATATTGCTTCAATTTGAGCCAGTAGCGTTGAATACTGCTCAAGCGTCAATAGCGAGTCTCCGATTGTTCTTCGAAGGTGAAATTTAATAGATTTCACAGCGGCTTCCCATTTTCCTCCAAAATGTGGAGCTCCGGGCGGATTGAATCTCCAGTTCGTGCCATCTTGAGCGATCAAACTTGATAATTCTCGTAAAGTGCAGGATCCTGCAGCGAATAGTCGTTTCAGCTCTTTATCTGCTCCTACAAAATTGGTTCCACAGTCAGAATATAGCGTGTGGCAGATACCTCGGCGACTAGTGAAGCGGCGATAAGCGGCGATGAAGGCGGCTGCGGTGTAGTCAGTGACTAGTTCCAAATGTACAGCTGAACTGAACATGCATACAAATACTGCAATCCAGCCTTTGTATGTTTTTGCTCCACGTCCTTGAAACGTTTTTAGCGTGATAGGTCCAGCGTAGTCGAGTCCTGTATGCAAAAAGGCTCGAGTTGGCTGTACTCGTGCGGCAGGTAGTTGACCCATCAATTGTTGAGCACGTTCTCCACGATGTCTCGTGCAGATTACACAGCGTAATATAAAAGATCTGACTGGAACACGGCCTCCAATGATCCAGACACTTTTTCGTAAGTCAACGAGCGTGAGCTGGGTACCTCCGTGAAGCGTTTTGCGGTGCGAGTCATCAATCAATATTGATGTAAGCGGTGAATATCGTGGCAAGATTGCTGGATGCTTCTCTTCTGGGTCCAGCAATGCGTTTTTCAAGCGGCCACCGACTCTCAGGACCCCCTGATGATCGATGAACGGAGTCAGCTTGGTGATGCTGTTATTTTTTGGCAGATCATCACCATCTTGAAGCGTATGAATCTCTCTAGCGAAATATTGTCCTTGAGTGAACTTAATCAAGATCAATTTAGCGCGCTCCAGGTCTGACGGTTGTGGAACTCTTTTGAAGCGGTCGATGACACGATGCCAGATGCTGAGCTTCCTAAGTAATGGAAACAGCTGCGTGTAATGCGATAGTAATTGTTGGAGCAGGCAATTTTCTGCTTTCCAAGTTACTAATGTCAGACCTTGGCGTTCTTCTCGATGCGTTGCGTTGTCGGTTGGAGGCTCCAGAGTGGGCCAAGAGGATTCTGGTTCATGAAGCCACGTAGGTCCATGCCACCAGAGAGCGTGTTGCTTTAATTTTAGCGTAGATATACCTCTTGAAGCGCAGTCAGCTGGGTTTTGTTTTCCTGAAATGAATTTCCAGGAGACATCTCTAAGCGTTTCTTGGATTTTTCCCACTCTATTGCGGACAAATGTCTTCCAGCGGGTTGCTGGACTTTTAATCCATGCGAGAGTCACGGCGGAGTCAGTCCAGAGATTTATCCTGACATTTTCAAGCGACTGAACTTCTTTAACATGAAGTATCAGTTGTGTTAGCAACCATGCGGCAGATAATTCCAAGCGTGGAATTGTCATAGTCTTCAGCGGTGCAACTTGCGTTTTTGAACACAAAAGTGACACTTTTGTGTTCCCATCAGCGTCAGTGACTCTCAAATAAACAGCGGCAGCCATAGCGTTCTGCGAAGCGTCTGAGAACCCGTGCAATTCCATGGTTGCTCCAGGTGCTATATTATTTCAGCGTGGAATGTGGATTGATTCTATGTTGCGGAGATCATCGCGGTATCCAGTCCATTTGTGTATGAGTGATGGTGACAGTTGCTCGTCCCATGACACTCTATCTAGCCACAGATCTTGCATGAAGATCTTTGCTTTGACGACAATTGGTGCGAGTAGTCCTAGCGGGTCATATAGCTTAGCAATTTCAGACAAAATAGCTCTTTTTGTCTTTGGCGTCTCTTGCGGTAGCGTGTACTTGAACTGGAGAGCGTCAGTGAGTGGATTCCAGTACATGCCCAGGACTTTTACTGGCGCATCACTGATTTCTTTAAGCAGTGTATCTAGCTGCTTTTCTTGAGCGACTTCAACGAGTAGTTTTGGACTATTGCTAGCCCATTTGGCAAGCGGGAAGCAGCCTGCTGCACACAGTGCTTTTGTTTGCACTGCAACCTCTATAGCGTCTTCTTCATTGTCGGCTCCACCGTAGATGTCATCTACGTAGCGTGTATTCAACATTGGAGCAACAGCTAGCGGAAAGCGGTGTCCTTCATCCTTCACAAGTTGAATGAGCACACGTACAGCGTCAAAAGGTGCACTAGCGGTTCCGTATGTGACTGTTTTGAGACAGTAAGCGTCTATTAAGTCATTCTCATCTATCCAGAGAATGCACTGAAGCGGCCAATCAAGCGAGTCGACCTCAATCTGTCTGAACATCTTCGTGATGTCAGTAGCGAATAAAATCTTGTTGCAGCGGATTCTCAACATCACGTCAAAAATGTCAATTTGAGTTTTGGGTCCTGCGTGGAGAATGTCGTTCAATGAAATTCCTGTCGATGTTGCACAGGAACCATTGAACACTGTGCGGAGTTTCGTAGTGGTGCTGTCAAGCTTCAATACCCCATGGTGAGGCAAGAAGTAAGCGTTTGCGGGCAAGTCGTTGATCGGAACTCGTACCATGTGTCCTAGTTGAATATATTCTGCCATGAATGCACGATACATGTCAGAATATTCCCTTTCTCGCGACAAGCGAGTTATTAATCTGCGTAGTGACCCCATGGCTGCGTTGATAGAGTCGCCAAGTTGACTCTCCGGGGCTTTAAGCGGTAATCTCACTACATAGCGTCCATCAGGCTGTCGATAATGCGTTCGACGAAAGTGAATAGCGTCTTGTAATTCTGTATCAATTGACGCATGTAATGCTGCGTGTGATGTTGAAGCGGTTTTTGCGGTGACAGCTCCATAGACAATCCAACCAAGCGTGGTGGATTGTGCAATAGGAGCATTGCGAGGTCCTCGTTGAATCTCTGCGTTCATGATCTGTGCGGCTGGTGATGCACCTAGAATAATGTCTACAGGACGTGGCTGCAGATAATGCGGATCAGCTAGTTGGAGATTCTCCAGATGCGGCCATTTCGGATCAGCGATCACGAACGATGGAAGATCTACCGTCAGTGTTGGTAGAATATGCATGCTGACATGCATTGATGCGGTCGTATACAGCGAACGAAGCTCAATTGTGCTCACACCTAGTTAGCTTCCTGCGGAGACATTGCCAATGCCCTTGAGCATGACCATGTCCCGCTGTAGCGGTTGACCAAGCTTCTTGAAGAGCGTCTGTCTCATAAATGAGAGCTCTGAGCCTTGATCAATCAAAACTCTGGCGGTGATTAGATTGCCATTATTCGGGCGGACCTGGACCAATGCGGTAGCTAGTAAAACTTGAGCGGAAAGCGGATCTGAAATTATCAACAGTTAATGTTGAATTATAAGCGGTTTAATGGAACGGTTAGTTACCTTGTGCGGTGTCAGCTTGTTGCGGTGGAACTGATTTAGGCGGTACTTCTCGATGAATGGAAGTGTGATGACGTAGACTGCACTTCCTGCATCCTTGAGTGGTCTTACAATCAGCTACACGGTGTGGGCCCAAGCAGTTGTAACATAAGCGGTATTTCTCGACAATGTCGATGCGTTCCTCCACAGTAGCGGCCTTGAATATCGGACAGAACAACATGTAGTGCTCCTCCGGGCACAGCGGGCAATTTCTCCTGGACTTTCCCTTGTACTGAGCAGCGGTGTATGAAGATTTTGTCCTTGGTTGTTTGTCACTGCGTGACCCTCCTGATTTATGATTTTCAGGTTGCTTCTTGGGCTCAGAAGCTGGCTCCAAGTTCTCCCAAGCTCTGACTTTGGACTTGAGAAACTCATGGAGTTGCGTATAAGTCGGCATGATATCAGTTAAACCAAAACTAGTCTCCCAATCTTCTCTTACAGCGGGTGGCAAGCGGCGTAGCGTCAGGTGAATGATCATCAAGTCCCAGTTGTTAACTGGAACTCCTTGAGCCTTGATTGAATCCAAAGCTTTTTGATTGGATAAAAGCAAGGCGTCCAATTTTGCGGCTGATCGTGCGGGAACTGACTCTCCTACCAACAGATCTTCAAGGTGCGATGCCACTACGCGACGAGGATTCGAATAGCGGCTCTTCAGTAGATTCCAAGCGGGCTCAAATGAGTCATCAGTGGATGGCATGTTACCAATAAGCTGATGGGCTTCCTTTTCGGTGAAGGTCTTCAAATATTGCATCTTCTGACTGTTTTTAAGAAGTGCATTGTCAATAACGATATCAGAAAATAGCTGACTAAAGGATCCCCAACGTTTAAAGTCACCAGATAACGTGTGGAGCTTGATCTTTGGGAGCCCCGTGCCAGATGACCCACCCATGTAAGCGGTGCTGTGCATAGCCAGAGTGTTTTGTGCTTGTTCTGCGTCTCTGGCATCAATTTCCTCCTGGATTGCGTCTTTGCGGGTGGCTATGCGAGTCTCCAGTGTGGTGTACGATGCGTGAGCAGTCGTATAGCGATTCCCAGTGTGGTACTCGTGCTGCAGTACCTCCGGATACATTTCGAAAATTAGCGAATTCAGGTTTATGATGTCGGGCCTTGATTTTGAGCTGCTTCAACAGCAGTCATTGACAGCCTGTTGAGCTCATCATCTGTTAAGCGATCCACCATGGCTTGCAAAGCATCCAGGTACTGCTTTTGCATGGCGATAGCTGACTCGAACTGCATTACGTTGTTCATAGTAGGCCCGAGGTCGAGTTTTCAGTCGAATAAATGGAAAGTTCGTCGTACCGGTGTACGAATGACTACCAGGAGCAGCACCCGATGTGCTCTGCGATGCTCCTGACACTCGACTTTTTTCTAACGGTAATACACTTCACTCAACACAACACAAATTTTAAGCGGAATACTAATTTAAATTAATTTTAATTTTAATTTAATTGAGATAGAGCCAGCCTGATCCGGCTCGAGGGACCAAATGTAAAATGCTGAAAGAGCGGAAAAACTAAGGATCAGGTTTCGGTCTGGTTATCTCAATTAAAATACAAAAATTATTATTAAAAATAACACTAGAGTTTATTTAACTATAATTACAATCAATATTTAACTTGTTTAATAGCGGATTGGTTAAATAAAAGCGGATATGTTATACACAGCGTGGTTAGCAAAAGCGAAGCCGTTTAGCACGTGGTTGAGTAAACTGCCGGCACTGTAAAAAGCGGTAATTACTGCACAATTAATTCTAATTAATCTGAAACAAACCAAATAAATTAAATGCAATCAATTAAAGCGAATTAAACTATAAGAAATAGCGAACAGCGGTTAATTAGCAAGGCGAAAATTATATATGCGAAAAAGCGACTTGTTCGTACGAAAGATGGATGCGAAAGATAATAATAATAATTCGTCTTCTTCCTCGTCTTGGAGAAGAAGGCTACTGCGCATGTCTAACGAGAGCGATAGCCAATCAATAAATTCGTTCTATTGATGTCGACATCGATAGCCAATGGTAAAATTCGATACCTGTGGCGTGATCAGTCAGGCGGTTTACGCATGCGGGTGAGAAATAGCGGGAACGATGGCTTGTCAGGTGCGTGTTGTAAATTTGGGGAGCCCACAGTGACGTATTGCTCATTGAGTGGGCCTGTTCACTGAACAGCATGTAACCGGTATTGTTAACTATGTTGGTTGCTCCGAAGGACGTCATTTGGAAGCATGAATTATACTTTCGAATGTTTTGAAAAAAATGTTTAGAAGTCGAAGTGCGTTTAGAAATATAACTAAGAAGTGGCTCAGGTGACTGAATCACTGGTGACAAAACAACTTTACCGTTTGAACAGCACATTCCGGGGGATTCTTTAGCGAAGTTCAAAGCACCACAATGTAAACATACTTTGTCCATTGCGCCGATCACCACATCCTTGTGATTTCTGTAGTCGTCATCTTTATTGTAATTGAACGCCGCAAGCTTTAAATCAATTCTTTTCCGTGATTGAGCCATTCGGTTACGGTTGGCATCAAGTCTTTGGGTACGTTTTTGAGTTGTCTCGGTAGCTTGCGATGAAGATTCTTTGTCACGCTTTTCTTGAAGCCGTGATTCACGCTCTTCTTTAGTTTCTATATTTCTTCTTTTAGATATTCTGTTACGATTTTTCTCAAGGCGTAACTGACGTTCTTCAGCTGTTTCATTTGCTCTTTTTTCCTTTACTTTATTTTATTTGGATGTTTGTTTACCAATGCTTGCTATTTTGGGTGGCATTTTTATTAATTACAATGATTCTGTGAAGAAACATGATCGGTGAAGGAAAATACAATTTTCCGTAGTAATAATCAATTAAAAAAGCATCAGTAAACGGATACATTCGCGGCACTATAACTTACCTTGAATACTTCAAAATCCTTAATTATTATCTTTAATGTACTTCAGTATACTTTATTATACTTCATTTTACTTCATTATACTCCAGTGTAATTCCACATGGTTCATAATAACATAGATATACACAACGCATGTGTCAATACAAATTTGGTTTATAAAACAATAGAATATCATCATAGTAAATAAAAGCTGTATTTGACAGTTCAAAAATAGGAGTGCTCCGATCGTCACCAAACTTTACAGGATTACTCGCCAGGTCAATCCGGAGATTCCCTGAAAGTTTCATTGAAATCGGTCCAGCCGTTTCGGAGCTCATACGGAACATACCCACACACTTTCTCTTTTACATATATAAATATAGATTTCTTAAAATAAAAAGCGAGAAAATAATTGCTCGTAATTTATTGTTTTTTTTTTTTTTATATATTTTCTTTTTTAACTTTAAAAAATTGTATAGTTGAGGTTTTACGCCGCTACTACTACAGAAAGTTTTTTTTTCACATTTTTAAACTACGAATATGTTCTTTCGTAAACTGGCCGAAAAAAAAATTATACGCCCTTTCACCTTTAGATCACCAAAATTTCAAATTCTTAAAAGTAAAAGGGCGTATAATTAAAGACATACACCCTTTTACCTTTGTAATTTTTTTTTTCAATTTTAAATGCAGAATGTGTCTACTACTCGATTGGCAATAAAAAAAAAAATATGCGCCCTTTTACCTTTGCATAGGTAAAAGGGCGCATAAATTGTTATAAGTCCTTTTACCTTTAGGCACGCGAATATCATCTATCCGTCTTCTTTTAGCATCACTGTGATTGTTTTCTATAAAAATGATTAATATTATTATTATTTTTGTTGTTGATTTTATTATTGTGATAATTATAGAATTTAACTTCATAGTTACTTTTACTGATTTAAAATTACTATACCAAACGTATAACCAATTTAATAAAAAAAAACTTACCTCTGATAGGATTTGCGTAAAAAACTTCGTACTCATCTTTACCTTCAATTAAATCGAATTCTTCATTTTCGATATAAATTCCGCATTTATCTTCTCCATCAAAAAAGGTTAAGCCGTTAGCACCCGGAAAATACGTCCTAATGACTTCCAATTTTAATTTTTTTTTTATTTGTCGGTAGTCTTACAGATGATTTATTGTCTTTTATTCTACCAAAACTCATTGTCAATTTTTTTCGGAAAGAAACAAAATTATAATTAATTCTTACTTCTTAGAGACGTCGATTGTCGACGTCGTTCAAAAAATTTGTCCGTTTTAAGAGAGAGGCAAAAATAAACATAGTTTATGTTATCGCGAGTCAATAGGGTAGATACCTGCATTTCCACGCACATGTGCACATGTAGGTGTGTGCACATGTTGGAAGTGGTCATGTGGAATTGTGAAAATATTGAAAGTGGCCGTGAGCGGCGCCACTTAGCTATAAGCCTGCCGTGAGCCAACCCGGCTTCCGTAATTGCGTCAGATTCTCAGAAGATTGGGTTAGAGCAACCACCAGAGCAACCACCAGAGCAACAACCAGATGGCAGATAGCAGCCACCAGATAGCAGATAGCGGCCACGAAATGGCAGATAGTGAGATTCAAAATTCAAAGTGCCGGACCAGAATTCAAAAATTACGGGAAAATAGCGGATTTTAAACTCAAAATTTCAGCCACCAGATAACAGCCGTCCGATAGCAGATTCACGATTCAAAATGGGGTATTTACAATTCAAAATGGCGGATTTACAATCCAAAATGGAGGGGAAATGGCGGATAGTGGGATTTGAAAATGGCAAATAGTGGGATTTGAAAACGGCGGGAAAATGGCGGATAGTGTGATTTAAAAATGGCAAATAGTAGGATTTGAAAACGGCGGGAAAATGGCGGATAGTGTGATTTAAAAATGGCGGTAAAATTCACCACCAGCGCCACCTATAAAAAACCTCAACCATATCCATAAAATATCGGTAAAACAGATCGGTCATATCTACGGTCGGCAACACGAGCATCATATCGGTAAAACAGATCACCGCATCGACGGGCGGTAAGACAGATTTAGAGCAAGCACGAACATACCGATCTGCTTTGCCATCTGGGCGGAGCCCCCTGCTACACTACTGAAGAAATTTGATTAATAAATTTAGTTAGGAAATTTAGTGATGAATTAATTTAGTGGATCGGGATTTTGTATTGAATGAGTGATGGGCATTAATTTTGGCAAAATTTGAGAATGTCGAATTCTGAGAGTCAGTTGATTAGTAATTAGGAAAGATTTAGAGATTAGGAATTTTGTAAGTTGAGATAGCGTCCGGTAGACGACTTTAATATGAAGTTCAGTGAGTCTAGAGGACAATTTTTAGTTGTTATTATGGTAAATACCGTCTGGTGACGAGGTTGCTTTTGGTGTGAAGTTAGGTCTGTTAGATAGGATATTTTAAACTATTAATCGTCATCAGGTTGGCGAAATTAATAAAAGCTCACAAGTGCAATGATTTTATAATTAGTTATATTGTGGGATATTACTTTAAGACATTTTTTAGCAAGTTGCTCTTAAAATTAGGTGAGAGGTTTTCACAGTTAATCACTAAGTTAAATTGTAAGTAAATTTTAAGGAAATAATTGTTAGAAATAAATTTGTCATTCATTAATTTTAATTATTGAAATTTAATAAATGATTTCATTGTTATTAATAATTTTCTGAGTGTTATTTATAGCCTTCTCAAGATTCTCACGACCTTGTCTTTTCCCTTTCACGTTTCTCCGGTTTCTGGGACACCGTGCCTAAAATCCCAGTGGCGCCCTTTTCAAAGAGAAAAGGGGTGACCAATCGGACAAGAGCGCAATACTCTTGTTACAAGCTTATACGTACAATAATTGTGTTTAAGAATTCAAATAACCATTAATACAAAAAATTATTATTAACAAATAAACATTGCTATATTTATTATGAATAAAATATTAAATATCTAATTCATAAACTGACTAGCTGTTACCCACCCGCTTCGCTGGGCGTTTTTTAGAAATGCATCTTTAGATCTAGACTCGCAATTTAATTTGAGTATTGTTTTGATTTGCACAGATTCCAAATGATCATTGACAGTTTTAGTCAGTCATTGAAAGTCTCATAACTGAAGTTCAAATTTGTCTAGTTTCAAATGCGAAGAATTCTTCTATTTTTGAAAATTTTCTCAGTAACATCAAATTTTCATAGAAATTTAATCAACATGTTTTTTTCGAATTCTATTTAAATAAGTAGGCAAATTAATTTTTACATATTTATTGTTTGCAAATACTAAAATTGATGGTAGAATGAAGTTATCTTAGTATCGAAAACATGGACCCTGATTCCTTATTGGTTGAGATTTAGATTAAAGTTAGCTTAGTATCGAAATAACGTTCAGAATTAGAACGCGCGCGGATGCGCGCAATTTAAATTCCTAGTTGTTTGCAAAATGCATTCATTTTAATCTGTTACATTCCCGCGATCCCGCAATAAGAACAATTTATAAATTATGTAATCAGCAAAAAAAACATGTATGTAAAATTCTTAGTCCGTTGACTGAAATACTGTATATAATGTTTTGAAAACCTTACAATGACTTTTTCCCCGCTGCTAAAGAGACTTTTTTTTGTAAGGAACCAGGGTAAAAAAATTTATATGGGGTATTCCATGCCAAATCGACCACTTTTGAACCCGACCCCTTTAGATTCAGCTGAAACTTTACTATTCTTTTCTACACTTTGAAAGACATTTTTGAGAATTTTTTCAAATTTTTTTATCCAACCCAAAAAAAGTTATGAATTTTTCAAAAAAATGGCTTTTTTATTTTCAAATAGCCATAACTTTTTTAAAAATTGACTTTTGGGTACCTTTTTTTTTAAAAAAATTTTTGTTTTTGAATGAACTTTTCGAAAAAATATACGAAAAAAATTTAACATGATCAATTATATAAAATAATCGGTTTTTTTAAGTAAAATCGTCATTTTTTCGAAGTCCGCCATTTTCTTTTTTTTTTTTTCTCAAAAAAAACTTCAATTTATTTGACAACTATCCCCGCTAATCCCGAGCAGGGCCGATTTTTTTTTATATTTTTTTTATTCATTTAAAAAAAAAAATTGTCAAATTTTCAAAAATGGAAAAAATTTTTTTTCCGTAAATTTTATTTCTATCATATAATAAATATAATTTAACGATTTTGTGATACAATTCTCAATTTATAGATTTAATTTACGAATATAATCACCGAGATTCAAATTTTAACTTATCAGTAAGGTCGATAAACTAGAGTAGGACAATTGTAGACTTACCAACAGTCAGTATACTAGAAAGTATACGCTAGTGTGTATCGATTTATAAATACGGTTTTTTCATACTGTCTAAAATATAACCTGTAAATTGCTGTTAATCTTTTGTGCGATCAAGTGTCTAGTGAAAGATTGTTGATATTACATTTGGTTCATAAATAAATAATTTTTATAGTTCATGAAGGCTATTTTGATTTGGTGTAATTTGAAAAGCCTATTTTTTTATTCTATGAATCTAAATTGATTGGAAGAATTTTATGAAGACATTATGGCATCAATAAAGCAATTCGATCGATGTTGTAATCCATTTAAGTTGGAATCACATTACGACATTTAACAGGGGTAGCGAAAAAGTTGGTTGAAGAAAAGGGTCTACTTTCAACACCTGAATCGAAATTAGGTAGATATAGCATAGAATTGATGTTTCTGGTACATCTGAAGACTGAATTACTTAACATTTTTTGTATGGGGAGGACAATTAAGTAAAATCGTCATTTTTTCGAAGTCCGCCATTTTCTTTTTTTTTTTTTCTCAAAAAAAACTTCAATTTATTTGACAACTATCCCCGCTAA